TGCTCATGTGCTCTCTCTTTCTCTCAAATAAATAAACAAAATCTTAAAAAAATAATATTATATTTAATGTAAAATATCGATAACATCCATATATCAGTACCTAATATTGAGGTAATCTGAAATATAATAAAATATAAAATGGTAGCTGTGTCTGCTGTTACATTATTCAAGAACAGGACATTTTCCCCCAGAAGCTGTTCATGGATGCCAATAATGATGGTGATGATAATTTCTATTTTATGAATGCCTGGGTTAGATTTGCCACTGGGCAAGACTACGCATAATCACCCCAGCCGCTGGGTGTTCATGCCTCCTATTTCATTCGGGGACGTGGATGGCAAAGGTGGAAGAGCACCTGTGGTGTCCCGGTGACTCAGAGGCTCCAGCTCTCTCTTCCCCCCCACCCCCCCACCGCGCTCCCTCACTGCTCTGTGAGGTTGTGTGCGCGCGGGGATGTGGTGCAGGAGCGGTGAGGTCCAGAGAAACCCAGCAGCCCTTTGGCTCTAGAGATGATTACTTGGAAGCGGAGAGGAAATATCTGTCCCTTAAGAGTCCTGACGTGTCATCAAGAGTCTCATACAAACTTAGCCAAGGACTCAAGCCCTAGGGAGTGACAGTTGCTGCAAGTGGTCACTTAGTCACCTGGATACCTGTGACCCAAGGTCCAGAGAAGAGATACCAGGATCAGAGAATCGGCAACGTCAGGGCCCTGGGAGCTTGGACACTAGCTGGCTCGGCCTCAAACTGCACCAGGGAAGACAGAGGTCCGGGACCGTGGTGGGCCCCAGGCTCACACAACTAATGGCTACACAAGATCCAGGTCTCCACTCCGTGTCAACCAGCTCCCCAAACAACCTAAGGCTCTGCAGCCACCAAACCTTCAACCTTCGGAACTTTTCCCCCCGAACTTTATTTTTTTTATTATTTCATTCTATCTTATTTTCCTGCAGTAAGAACATTTAACATGAAGTCTACCCCCCAGATTTTAAGTGTACGATACTGAAGGTACAATGTTGTACAAGCGGACCTCTAGAACTTGTTCATCTCGCTTCACTGAAACTTTGTGCTCCTTGATCAGGAACTCGCCGTTTCCATCTCCCCCAGCCCCTGGAGGGCTCCTTGATTACACCACCATTCCCCTCTTTGAGTCTATGAATTTCATTATTTTAGATACCTCGTGTATGTGTCATCATGCAGTGCTTGTCCTTCTGTGTCTGCCCAAGTTCACGTAGCATGACGTCCTCAAGATTCGCCTGAGTTTCGCACACCGTGCAATCTCCTTGTAAACGCTGAACAGTATTAGATCGTTTGTATACACCACATTTCCTTTATCCACTCATCTGTCAATGGACATTTAGACTGTTACCACACCTGGCTCCTGTGAATAGCACGGCATTGAACACGGGAGCGCAGATATCTCTTCAAGATCCTGATTTCAGTTCTTTTGGATGCGGAGAGATTGGAGCCCTGGCAGGTCATTGGTGGGATGCAAAATGGTGCAGCTGCTATGGAAAACAGTATCAAGGTTCCTCAAAAAGGTAAAAATGGAACTACCATATGATCCAGCAAGCCCATTTCTGCATGTTTATCCAAAAGAACTGAAATCAAGATCTTGAAGAATGTCAACATTTGGAATTTTAAGAGCAGGTTTTCGAGGAAAAAGAGAATAGCTTTCAAAGAGGGCCCTTTACTTGTCTGAACTCAACTTCTTATTGAGATTTAAATAAAGGCTTAGAGATTTATTCGAAGACAAGAACATAATTATTTCACAGATGACACTTGGGAGATCTCTTTGTAGTATTTCAATTTCAACATGGTGGAGCGAGAAAAGATTCTCATCTTTTATATCTTCTTCATACTTGAACTTGAAATCAACTCTTCTTCTATAAACTGCTATAAGTCCTCAGGAAATTCGAGTTCTTATCATTTCCACAGACATGTCTTTTGCTGTGTAAATAACATTTCAGTAGCATATGGCCATTTCCAGTAAGCTTGAACTTGGTGAAGCAGCTGGAGTCCAGGAGTAACAGACAGAAACAAGGGTGAGAAGGAAAGCGCCAAAACCCCACAGACATCACCACCTTTGATACTCACCGTTGCCCTGTGGGGGGAAGGGACTGTTGTCCCCTTCTTGGAAGAGAAGACTGATTCAGAAATGCCACCTGACTCGTCATCCATATAGATATTGGCAAGCGGATAATCAACTTCATGACTTCCAAATCAAAATGTTACCTATGCTTAACGGCTATTATCTTATAGAAGACCTCCATAAAAAATGAACCTACTTTGTGCCTCAAGATTTATAAACTGTAGCAAGAATCTGATGATCAGTATGTTCCTTTAAGTAGCTATCATTTTAAAATAAACTTAGGGATTTAACTGATGGGATACATTTTCTCAGCAATCCAACAAAGCCAAGCCCCTCCTTCATCATCCTGTTTCTGTTGCTCAGTTGGCACTAATACCTTCAAAGAGACAGGAACTGCAGTGAGAGGGAAAAGCCACAGAAGAAGAAAAATAAATATTGTGTTTCTATCATAAAAGAGCAGACTGCTTGAGCACCTGGGTGGCTCGGTTAAGCATCTGTCTTTGGCTCGGGTCATGATCTCAGGGTCTTGGGATGGAGTTCCACGTTGGGCTCTCTGCTCAGCAGGGAATCTGCTTCTCCTTCTTATTCTCCCTCTTGTGTTCTCTCTCTCTCTCAAATAAATAAATAAAATCTTAAAAAAAAAAAAACAACCGACTGCTCCATTGTACCACAGTGATTGATACCTTCTTGGAAGTACATGGTCAAGAAGAAAAAACAAACAAACCCCCCCCCAAAAAAAACTAAAATACCTAAGAACTGACATTAGGCTCATTGGAAACATGCATGACATTTTTCTGGATTTGAAAACTGATGTTATATTTGTTTCATAAAACACAGTTCTGTAAATTTGGACACAAAGCAATAAACACATTAATACTTTAGGAAGACATTCAGTTTTTACCTTTATAATCCGATGTATCTCACACACACACACACACACATACACACACACACAGATTCCAGTGACTACATAGGAGATTTGCTATACTTTTCTTCACACAACTCTTTCTTTCATTAAACTGTTTATAAATATAACTACTGAAGTCAATTTGTAATAAGAAAATGAATGACCTGAAATGTTTTCTGAGTTCTTTGTACTGAAAAGTTTTAGAAACTAAAGTGCAGGATCCACTCAGGTCATCAATCCCTGCAGATTCCCAGCCAATGAGACGAAGCCTGATACGTGAGTGGGGAGCCCCATCTCCGACACTGAGCCACCAGAAGCAGGAAATGATGTATTTCAACAAAGAATAAAGATACCCCCTTTGAACTGTTTTCCTAGAGCAACTGAGTGTTCACAGACTTACCTTGCACATTTTAATAAGTTTCAGCCTCTGAAATATCAATAAATACATCATTCTAAACTGGCACTAAGATTCTTCATGGCCAAAATTTAGTTCAGGCCAACCTGGAAAGAAGTGCTTCTAGAACCAATAAGAGCTTCTATTAAAGCTACCACGATATTTGCCAGTGTGAAGGGGAAGGAATCTAATTGCAAATCCCAGTAACAGAAATCTCCTTGGTTTGGGCATATCTCACAAAAATGCCCACACCCTCTTCCTCTCTCTGAATTTTCCAAGGCTATCTGGAGTGTGTGGTTGTGCATGTCGCAAAACCAAGCTTTACTGCAGCACAAAAACATCACTCAGCCTCATGGACCAAGGTTATGAAAACGATACAAAGAACGACTGGAAAGGTGAGGGAGGAAGGATGCCAAGCCAGACCTTCCCATGCGGAACGTCTCTCCCAGCACACGCCCACCCACCGCGTGCATTCCACGGCACCAGCCGGGGTAGCTGAACCAGGTGGAAGCCCAGCGCCCTTCGGCACTCAGTCATTCTTACAGGGGGCGCAGGAAGAGCAACAACGGGCCTTTGGAAAGGTGCTTGCACAAGTGGAATTTTATTTAAGGATTTAGTGTCAAAAGAAATATGACCTGCTAAGGCAGAAGAAAAACAAAACTATACGTTGTCTTTGATTCCCTCTGAATTGGCCCCAGTGTGCTCTGACTACAGCTCCATAGTCTCTCAACCCTCAGAGTGTTTCAGGTTTGTTCCACATTCTATACCTTAGCGTGGTTCAGTGTAGAGACCTTATACGTCACTTTCCCAAATCAAATATAGTGACCACAGGTAAGCAGATTGAAGCTTCTGTCATAGCTCACAAATCAGAATGAAAAACTCCAGGGGCAATTTATCCCAGAAGTGAATATTTAATTCAAGAAGCCTCCAAGCTATTATGAACTTCCAGTATTTCCGCCAAATAGTCTCATTAACTAGAGAAACTTACATGATTTACAGTACATAGCGCATGCAGAGTATCTTGTGCCTGGGGATGTCATGTTTATAGAGCATTTCATGTTTGTAGAGCATCTAGTGCCTGTTGAAAATCTAATGTTTGCAGACTATCTGCTGTGTGAGAGCATGTCGTATCTGTAGAGCATCTACTGTGTACAGAGCATCCAGTGTCTGGACAGGTCATGTTTACAGAGCATGCAGCGTTTGCAGAACACCTAGTGGTGTTTGTAGAACACCTAACGTTTGCGGTGTATCAAGCGTGTGCAGAGCACCCAGTGTCTAGACATGTCACACTTACAGAGCATGTGGTGTTTGCAGAACACTTAATGCTTGCAGTGTGTCAGGTGTGTGCAGAACACCCAGT